TGTTGTGTAGGCATGTAGGTGCTCTCATTTTAGGTCTATTATTGTCAGTTTGTTGCTTATGCCATCTAAGAATACTAGGACCTGGACTGAATTTACCACTGTTATTTACAAATGAAGAGGCTTTTGTTAATGTGATTATTTCAGGAGCAGCTAACACTCCTAGGGTATATAAAGTTTAGCTTAAAGCAGCTAACACTCCTAGGGTATATAAAATTATATATATAAAGTGTAAAATCTTATCACACCGAAGGTTGTGTGTTCACGGGCTCACTGGATGGCTCTTTCTCACTGTCTGCGTTTGGTGCTCTTGAGCCCTGTGTGTGCCTGGATCAGGACGGCTGTTCTTTCTCTCAGGCTTGAGCCCCTCTTGCTCTGACTCTTCCCTCTCTGAGCTTACAGTCTTAGTTTATATAGCAATCACGTAAGGCGGTGACATAAAGGTGGGTTGAATACTGACAAATCAACAAAGAGAGGTAAGACCACTCCTCCAGGAGATTAAAGATAAAATCTCATCTAAAGAAATTACTCCAGATTACTAGGAGATCCGCTCAAGGGTGGGATCCCAACAAGGGTGTGTTCTTCCCTCAGCTAGTAATCTACTTAAATAGTTGTAATAAATCTACTTCTAATATTTCTAGCAGTGTCATTCTGTATGAGCACAGTAATAGATATAAACTTAGTTTGGTTCTTCCTGAGAACATCTCACTATACATTCTGCAGTCCTCAGGCCAGGTTAATCTTCCTAGCTCCAGCAGGGTCCTAGTCTCGTTGTTACTTACTTTTGGATCATGACAGCATTTGTCCATGATCATGCCCTCAACTTATAAGTTGAGTATCGTGGTGCTTTGGCCTGGCCCATTTTGATGCCAGGGTAGCTCACCGCTTGCCCTGGTTCCATTCAGTCCCTCGTCGGGACCCTGCTTTTGGGGTGCTAGGAACTAAGGGCAACTGAGTCAAGAAATCAGATGCCCAGGAGTAAATATTATTTGGAGTCAATCAACTCCCAAGTTGCAAAGCATAATATTAGCTGTCTTCCTGTGTTCATACAAAAAGGGCATTGCTTACAATACAAGTTCAGTGTCCTTAGATGGGTGTGACCCGATAAACCTAAGCTACCTGAGGAAGGACAAAAGAGTGTTATCCTACAATAAAGGGCATGGTTAATAAAAAATTTCTAGAAAAAAAAATCAGGCATTAGCTTTGTTCAAATTATTTGATATGTGTACGTGCTTTAAAGAAACCCATGTTCAAATTGATGAGATGCTTATTTGCTTTTATTTAAAAAAATTCTTATTAGTTATATATATTTCTGGTAGTTCTCAATTAATCTAATTTGAATTTGTACCACTTTGAAAATCCTGATTAAAGGGTAGTGTCCTTGCAAGAGTAATGCACTGTCATTTTGACCTTTTTGTTTTTTTTTAGTGCTGAGTGATATGACTTTGGAAAACTGTGGTGTGACTGGAGAATCTGTGAATTCTTTGATAATTTATTTCATTTTTTGAGTATCTTCTAGGTCAAACACATTTTTTTCCAGGTTGCAAAAATAGCAAGTTTATTTTCTGTAAAAATGATTTAGAAGGCATTTAAAACAAATGTAGTTTATTCATGAAATTAAGCACAACTCAACTTTTTATGTAATTTTTTAAAAATTTTTATTATTTTTTTAAATTTTGCCATGCTGGGTAAGGCTAGAACTCTGTCACTGAGCCATGTGCCTGGCCAGCGGGCTTGATTCTTCCCTTGAGGTATCTCTATCAGCAGCAGAGTTAAAGCATCTTCACATCCCTCATGGCAAATAGCTGTGACTTCTCACCCAGAAGGCCAGGACAGTTAACAGCCTGTTGAGTTTTACAGTGGAGTTAGCTGCTCCTGGTGACTTTACTATTATCTGGAGCCTGCTGCTGCCAAGCTCTTAACGACTCAGCTACGTTTTGGTGTCTCAGATCTGATGAGCTTCGTGTTGGTGTCCAGCAGAGGAGCTAGAAATAACCCTCCACGTTCTCAGTACCTGGAACAAGGGCCTTGGAGTCAGCTCCATGCAGAACTTCCCTCTACAGTCCCTCGCCTGGCCCCTGGAGAGCCTCTTTTTGGGTGGTGAGAATATTTTGGACCTTGGCTGCAGTGCTTGTGACCCAGGAGGGCTGGGCAGAACCAGGTGGAGCCCTTCAAGGTCACAGAGTGGGACGGTGCTCCCCAGAGCCAGACGGGCATGCAACCAGCACTCCAGGCACTGAGGGGGGAAGCCTGCTTTCAACTGTCCCATCACCAGTTCCACACACAGGGCTTTTCAGGTCCCACCAGGAAAATGCATTTTCTGTTATTTGCTTCAGCTACTTAGAATTGGGATCGTGTCACCTTTCACCATAGTATGGGATTCACTGCAAATCTTTGTCTTTCCTAGTTCATGAAACTACATTTTACTCATCTGTATAGGCCCAGTTCAAAGAATTACAGGCTTTTCAAGGGTCTACTCTTAACCCTTAGGTTGCACTGACTTGGCTCTTTTTCATGACTTAACCCTTAGTTTAGATCGTTGACTCTTTTCATCTGTCCTCTCCATACTGCTTTTTTTCCCTTATTATTATTTAAATTTTTTTTTTATTGAATCACCGTGAGGTACACTTACAAAGCTTTCATGTTTGAGTTTCAGCCATACAATGATTCAACACCCATCCCTCCACCAGTGTACATTTTCCACCACCAATGTCCCTAGTATCCCCCTTCCCCCATTTCACCCCTCCCCCTGCCTCTATGGCAGACAATTTCCCTCTTACTCTCTCCTTACTTTTGGGTATTATGATTTGCAATATAGATACTGAGAGGCCATCATATTTGTCCTTTATCTACTTTCAGCACACATCTCCCATCCAAAGCAATCCCTCCAACCATCATTGGCATAGTTATCCCTTCTGTATCCCACCTGCCTTCTCCCCCAACTCATGAGGCAGGCTTCCAACCGTGGAGCAATCTTCCTGGCCCTTGTCTCTACTGTCCTTTGGTGTTGGTCTCTTACTGTGTTATTTTATATTCCACAAATGAGTGTAGTCATTCTATATCTGTCCCCCTCTTTCTGACTCATTTCACTTAGCATGACACTCTCCATGTCCACCCACTTTTAAGATAACACTGTCTGTCCTCCCATTGTTCATCGATTTGCTTGAGCGGGTCCAGTAACATCTGCATTGTGAGACTTCTCATTACTTTGTTTGGCATATTGAATACTCTCGGTAGCTTGCCAGGCTCTCCGAGAGGGGCGGAGGAATTGAACCCCGCTCGGCTGGGCTGGCTGCACGCAAGGCAAACGCCTATACGCTGTGCTATTGCTCTTCTTTCTTTTTAATTTCGTTTTGGGTCGCACATTGGTGGAACACATTGGAGGATAATGTGATGCTGGGGATCAAACTGGGGCTTCCCGCATGCAATTTTGTGCCTTAGCATTTTGTTTCCTTAAGCAAAATGTTTTTTTTTTTCCAACATATCACACATTGTTTTAAAATTGCTCTGTGCCAAAATGTTTCTTCTAATTCAGAGGATCCCAAATTTTCTTGGCCTCCCACCTCTTTTCAGAAAAAGATCACTCAGTGCCTCCTTGGTAATCTACTTTGAAGTGAACAAGCAGAGAGTTATCCCAGGCAGCTTTCCCCGTATCTTCCCAGGGGCCCCCGATGACAGTATTGCCCACTTTGGGAAACACTGCTCTAATCCCACCATCCATATGTTGGGTAGATTTATGACATCTGTTTGCTCAGAGTTTTCAAGAATGAAAATTGCACAGAAACGAAGCCAGCACTTACTGTTTATAGTAATCATTTGTGCATATGATTACTCACTTCTACAAATCTGCTAGCAAATTCCATCAGTTTATTTCTAGCTCATCTTCTGTAGTTGGCCGTTTCGAACGAGATAGTAAAGCTGTTGTAAAGCTGACAGTTGTTGGCTCCCTTCTTCTTGTCTCTGGAACACCTCCAGAAACAGCTTCACTTTTGCCTCAGCTGGTCTGGGGTGTGCATTTCTAGGGGCGCCCTCAGGAACTGTGTTTAAATTGAGCTCACCAGAAGCCCCCAGGCTTTGATTCCCTTTGCGTTTGACCAGCTGGAGGCTCTCAGGTGCAGTTACTAGGGAGGGAAGGCCAGTGAGAGCCTGCACACCATGGATGAAGAGAGCACTGGGGAGACAGTGAGGGACTCTGCCGGAGGAGTCTGCCTTCCACAGGGCAAAGGCCTAGAGGAGCAAGCATGCCTCTCCAGGTCAGCCGAATGGGAAAGAGAATAAGAGAGTCCAAACCGAAATAGTCCATCTGCGCATATAATAAACATTTGGCAAGCTGGAATTTCTCCATCTGTCCCTGATGAGCTGGAGAACTGAACTGGCATAAAGCAACACCCTTTAACAAGAGAAGCCCTTGCAGTGACTTTTCACCCAGTTCTCCTGGCTTCTTGTTCTGCTTTCTAAAAATGGAGCTAAGTAAGTGATCCTTTGGCTGAATCTGGAAAGCAGGTGGGGTGAGAAGAGGGTTTGGAGCGTGTTGCTTGGGGTGTTGGGAGGGAAGAAGAAAAAAGGGCATGTTTAATTTTGAATTCATGAATTCCCACTTATTTAGATTTGAAAAAATGAGTCCGTGCCAAAGTAAACACATTTTTTTCAGAGTATATAGTTGTTAGTCTTTTGAGACAAGTGTTTGACAGTGAAAAGGGATATCTTACAATTTAAAGTGTAAGTCTTGTCATCGCTTTACCCAGATTACAGATTCTGTGAGTCTCAATGGCAGAGACAGTGTAGGGTGTGCAGCTCTAGATTTAGTGAGAATATTCCATGAATTCTCTACTGTCATGTGTATTTGCTCTTCCACCCCCAACTCTCCCCTGCCTTTCCCTTTCCCTTTTTTTCCACTTTCCCTCCCCATCCCCCATCATCCCCACTCTCTTCTCCTTGCCTTTTGCCTTCTCTCCTTTCCTCCTTCATTTCCTTTTCTTTCCCCTGGATACTGTGCTCAGGCGTCACACCTGGTGGTGCTTGGGAATGTTGGGTTCCAGGGATCCAGCCTGGGCTTCTGCATTGGAAGCATCTTTGAACGCCTTGGGCTCTTTCTGACCTCGGTTTCCTTTAGGCCCACCGTCATGCTTCCTGTGGTAAATGAACACATTTTCATGCTTCTTCCTTTCCTAGAAATTGAGAGAGATATTGCAATCCACTAAGAATGCATATTTTATGCATTTTATGTGGTACTAAGTCTTAGTTTTCCTCCTTTTTGCTTATTTTGTAAGATATGTATTTTGGGAATATTTGGGGGGAATGTATTATGGTATAAGTGGCAGTACCTATTATGTTTATATAAGTTCTGCAGGGCTGCTCTGTACTCTGAAATCCTATACACTCTTAGTTCATATATAGGTGGGATCAAAGTCTTTGTATTAACCACAATGCCCAAAAGGAGAGAGAGAGGATGGGGGAAATTGTTTGCCATAGAGGCAGGAGCAGAGTTGGGATGTAGGGGGAGGGGGATACTGGGGATATTGGTGGTGGAAAATGTGCACTGGTGGAGGGATGCTTGTTCGATCATTGTATGACTGAAACTCAAACATGAAAGCTTCGTAACTGTGTCTCATGGTGATTCAAAACAAGAAAAAAGAAACCTGAAAATCCCCCAAATCTTTGCATTTCAGTGTTGTTCATTGAAATGAACATTCAAGCAACTATATAACAAAACCATCATCTGACTTAGGGGGCTCATAAACAAGAATGCTGTTGCTCTTCTGGAGGTGGGAATTCCACCCACGGATTGGTGAGGGATCACTTCCTGGTGCTTAGATAGTCGCACTGAGCCCTCACATTGCAGGAATGGGATGGAGCTTGCTAGCCCACCAAGGGCACTGTGCCCATTCATGAGGATGCCACTCTTGGGACTTAAATGCCTCCCAGATGTGCCACCTTCAGAAACCATCAAGTTGAGTTTGTCAACATAAAAATTTGGAGAAAGGCCCCAAGACATTGTATAGTGGGTAAGATCCTCGCTTGCCTTGCATGCTGCCAATCCTAGTTTAAATCTCCAGCACCACATATGGGCCCCTGAGTACTATCAGAGATCATTGCTGAGCACAGAGCCAGGGATGACTCCTGAGCACTGTCTGGTGGAGTCCCAGCAAACCCCCATAAAAGAGAAATTTGGGAAGGTGGGTAATGCTATTCGAAGCAGAGCAAGTATCTTAGCTGTTGATTAGTTTTTATTTTTCTGGGCCAAGGAGATGACTCAAAAGCCTTAGAGTGCATGCTTTGGATATAGGAGCCTTGGGTTGAATCCATAGCACCACATGATTTATCCCTAGCCCAGCCCTACACCGCCTTATTTCCTCTTTCCCCTTATTTCCCCCTCTTAAACCATAATCAGTTCTCAAAATTCACATTGTCAGAGTACTCAGCAAAGGCTGTCTTTTATGTCTTCTATAAGTTTTTTTTAAAATCCTTGTAGAGAATACCAGGTATTACACATGGACATTCTATTATTTAATACAAAGTATTAAACTCTTGCTTTCTGGCCTTATTTTTTATGGTTCACACTCTTGATTTTGTCTTTTCCTGTTGATAAATCACTAGGAGAGTATTCTCCGTAGGACCTGAGAAATGAGCGAATAGCTTGCAAAACTAATTGCTAGGGAGAAATGATTCAGCATTTCGTTTTTTCTCCTCTAAGCAACACAGAACAAACGAAGACAGAGCTCTCACCAATAGAGTGAACCGAGCACTGATGTGAACGCTGAGATGGATGCAGAGATGAATGGGACGCTGTGTCCAGCCCTTACAAAATCTGACAAGCCTGGGGAATGAGAGTGCATGTGTGAGTCAGCTCTGTCTCTGACCCATGAAGATGATTTTTTAAAATACTGTTGATTTCAGTGACATTTAAGAAATTAGTATGGTCCTGCTGGTTTTCCATTGGGATGGAACCTTGCATTCAGACAGGTAGCGAGTGAAGAGCCGAGCCAGTGTATTGATGAGTACTGACGGCAGGTTCTTCAGGTGTTCAGGTCTGACCTTGTCTGGGTCGGGTGCTGTTTGCTTCTTTACCGATGAAATGGTGTGTTGGATTTCGGAAGGAAGAACGTTGGGAACGACATATCCATCCTGTGGAATTTGGTATGTCGGCAAGTGGACATGGCTATCGAAGAGATTTGAGTAGAAGTCATGGATAATCTTCTCCATTGCCGTTCTGGAGGATGTGATGGATCCATCAGGACGTCGGAGGGCAGTCATCTTGGTCTTGTAGTTGGTGAAGGACAGGCGGGCGTTACGAACGAATACTTTTCCCAGCTTCTGCCGCATCTACCAGCACTTCCGCTCTTCTCTCTTTGAAGTCTTCCTTGATCGCATCTCTGCACTGCTTTGCGAGCTCGGATGTTAGCTTGCAGTTGCCTGAGGCATGAGCCAAACCACTCTGGAGAATTAGCTCAAGAGTTTTCGTAGACAGGCGTTTTTTTGTGGCTGTCTCTCTCTTGGCGTTCCTCGCACATTCATGGAGGTGCTGTACCAGTCGATCGTATTCCTTGTCAATGTTGTCAACAATGGCGTCTTCCCATGTTGCCACAATAGTGCCAAAGAGTTCCCAGTTGGTGGTCGTTCTGGCAGTTCTCTTTTTGAACTTTGCAGCCCTTTCTCCCCGCTCTGTGAAGTAGAATTTTGCACGAAGGAGACGGTGGTCCGATCCCGTTCGAAATTTTGGGACAACAGCGACATCAGTCAGGCAAAACTGTCGATTGAATATGATGTGGTCTATTTCGTTGTGGAATCGTCCACCAGGAGACTCCCATGTCCAACGTTTAGATTCTGCCTTCTGGAACTGTGAGTTACCATGGATGGTCTTGGTCAACATGATGAACTCAGACAGTCTCTCACCCTGTTCGTTCCATTCTAGGCCATGGGTCCTGATGTGAAGTTCTTCAGCTGATCTTCTCGGTCCTATCTTGGCATTAAAATCACCCACAATGATCTTGTAGAAGGTGTGGTCTTCTTTATAGAACTTCTCCAGCTCCGTGTAGAACTTCTCGATTTCTCTTTCATCATAATGAGATGTTGTTGCATAGACAACGAAGATAGAAACTGCAGGCAGTGAGCCACATCTATTCAAATATAAACGTCCGATTCGGTTTGTTAGGCATTCGAATGAATCAATGCTCATGGCCAAGTTTGTGTTGACAAGGACACCGACGCCTCCGACACCTCTTTTATCGCATGTTCCGAGGAACAGTTCTTCTCCAGTGTCGAAAACGGCATGGTGAGATTTGTGCCTTCTAGTCTCGGTCAGACCAATGATGTCATACTTGATCATTCGCTCTTGTACCATCAGGTCCTCAATGGATGCATCTGATGCTAGCGTACGTACATTGAAAGTACAGACGATCACACGATAACCAAGCTCATTGAGGTTTCTCGGGAGTTCAAGATGCCGCTCTGTTTAACATTCATTGATTTAAAGAAGGCCTTTGATTCTGTTGAGACAGAAGCGGTCATTGAAGCCCTAGCCAATCAGGGCATTCAAGCCCAATACATCAAGATCCTACATGAGCTGTATTACGGATCCACTACCAGGATCTCACCATTCTATAAAGAAGTGATCATCGATGTCAAGAGAGGGGTTTGGCAGGGTGATACCATTTCACTGAAACTCTTCAGTGCCACCCTCGAGAACATCATGCGACGACTGGAATGGGAAGGAATGGGAGTGAAGATAGATGGTCGGCAACTACACCACCTCCGCTTTGCTGATGACATTGTTTTAATAACACCAAACATCAGCCAAGCGGCACAAATGCCGGCCGACTTTGACGGTGGGTGTGGAAAGGTAGGACTACAGCTGAATCTTACGAAGACAATGTTTATGAGAAACAGCCTCGTTCCTGATGCCCCATTCGCTCTCCACGGAACGACCATCTCCGAATGCAACAGCTATGTGTACCTAGGTCGAGAAGTCAACATGACAAATGACCTGGCACCCGAGCTGCGCAGGAGGAAGAGAGCGGCTTGGAACGTCTTCAAGAACGTCAAAGAAATAACTAAGAGGACGAAGAACCTCCGGCTCCAGGCACATCATCTCTTTGATTCCACTGTTCTTCGTGCATTAACATATGCCTCAGAGACCTGGGCCCTACGCAAACAGGATGAGAACGCTATTCAGGTTTCCCAAAGAAGAATAGAAAGAGCTATGCTTGGAATATCACGTTTCACTCAAATGAGAGAAAGAATCCGGAGTTCCGACCTCCGTTGACGATCAAGAATCAGAGATGCTGTCTCATTTGCCAAGGTGTCAAAAATCAGATGGGCTGGTCACGTAATGGGATTTAAAGACGACCCCTGGACTAAAGCTGTTACCGACTGGATTCCAGGGGATGTCAAAAGACCGCGTGGCTGCCCACCTAACCAGATGGTCAGACTTCTTCATCAAGGTCATGAACGATAGGTTTGGGACTCTTCATGTTCCCAGAGCGAACAGATGCCATTGGGCTACACTAGCACGCGACAGGGACAAGTGGAGACGTTACTGGCGCCTGCTCGAGCAAATCGACGACTAACGGGAAGTTAAGTGATTAAGTGATTTTAAGAAATTAGTGTTTATAGATTCTCGCTCTTTTGTTGAAAGACGTTTGGTTTGGGGATGATTTCCCTTTCAGGTAGTTTTTGGATGTGAAAAACCTCCTGTGGATATTGCCAGACCTTGGTTTGTGCAAGATTTTTGTTTCAAAGCTTGCCTTGGTATTTGCCCCATCAGTTAAGAAGTTAAAAATGGGGCTGGAGCGATTGCACAGCGGGTAGGGCATTTGCCTTGCATGCAGCCAACCCAGGTTTGATTCCCAGCATCCCATATCGTCCCCCGAGCACCATCAAGAGTAATTCCTGAGTGCATGAGCCAGGAGTAACCCCTGAGCATAGCCGGGTGTGACCCAAAAAGCAAAAAAAAAAAAAAAAAAGAAGTTAAAACTTTGCTTGAGTGCTTCCGAAGGTCTTAGATGAAAATGGCTGGAAAGTCATTTAAATTTGAGACGAAAAAGAATGCAAGCTCCTTAGTGTGTATGATTTCTCCTAATTTGTCTAGAATCACAGGATTAGCAGTTTCAATCATACCTGTGTGTTCAGCCTTCCAGTTATTAGTATACACATGTTTCCTGTGTAATCACTTAGTCATTGGAATCACTGTATTTTTTTTAAAGAAAAAAATGGTTTGGCAATAACTACAAAAGGCTTTTGATGTCTAAAAACTACATGAAAGAAAAATGTTTCTTTTTAAAAGAGTGAATATCTATGGACACTAATTTTTGAGTGTCCTTGCATATCAAGGATTTTATGCACTATCTGAAATGATTGTAAAAAAAGCAGGCTTCCAAAAATTTTTTTCAAGCTAATTAAAAAAAATGTATTAAGTAGGTTTTTTATGAGCAGTTTTTTATCCATCCGTTTTGTCTTGTATTGTGTTTGGGGGGTCTCCCAAGCAGTGTTCAGGAGGCCCAGGGGCCACTCCTAGTCCACGGTTCAGTGTGAAGGTCAAAGGATGTGGAGTTACTTGGCTTCTTTGGGGCCAGGGATGATCAGCATCATCTCAGTGGTGCTTGAGGTTGGGGTGGAGGGTGATAGGGCTGCACTTAAAGATTCTTGGGGGACCATGTGGTGCTGCGATTGGATTTGTGTTGGCTGCATGCAAATCAAGTGCCTTACTCCCTGTAACTATCTGACCCACATTTATGCATTTTTAATTTTGATTAAGAGTGAGGAAGACCTGTGGCATGAAATGAAGGTAGAAATTTCTCCAAAGGTATTATACTGAAAGGGATAACTAAACAGAAAAGTCGCCTTTGAGTTAAGATGTAATGGATGTTTTTGTCTCTAGTCTCATAGCAAGATTTTCTTCCCCAGCCCACAGTACCTGGAATCATAGAAGAATTAAGGTGTGGGATTGGTTGATGTCTTCATCTTCCTGGGTCTGTTGATCCTCTAGTTTATTTCTTAACAGTTTTTCTTCCTATGACTTTATTATTTCCACTGCCCTCCCTCCTCCTGAACTTAAGAGAAAATTTCTTTTTCTTAAATTAGAAGTGCTTTAGCAATGATTGACAAACCACCTTTTGTTGAAAAAAAGAAAAAGCTTCTGGGACCGGAGTGATAGTACAGTGGGTAGAGCACTTGCATTGCATGCAGAGGAGCGGCTGACCCGGGTTCAGTCCCCCAAGCACCGCCAGGAGTAATTCCTGAGTGCAGAGCCAGGAGTAACCCTGGCCAGGAGTAAGCATCACCAGGTGTGACCCAAAAAGCAAAAAAAAAAAAAAATAAAAAAGGTATGGGTATTGGAACATTATATGCCAGAATCCCAATCATGAATAACTTTGTAACTGTGTATCTCACTGTGCTTTAATACAAAAATTTAAAGAAAGAGAGAAACTATGGAGCAAACTAAGGCAAAAAATCTATTTTGAAATCCAGAAGGAGCTCGCTACTTTTTGTTTGTTTCTGTTGTTCTCTTATATTTGGACCACCCCCAAAGCATGGTGCTCAGGGGTTACTCCCAGCTCTGCACTCAGGACTTACTCATGGCAGTGCTTGAGGGACCATAGGGGATGCCAGCAATCAAATCCTGGTTGGCTGCATGCAAGACAAAGTCCTACCGGTTACACTCTCTTTCCATCCCCAGGAGCTGCCTATTTGATTGAATACTTTATTTGGCTTGATTAGATGCATTACCAAATTAAAGATCCTGTAGATAGTCTGTGACATTTAGTGCTGTAATTAGGAATTCTTTGGCCTCACTTTTATTAGAAAAAAATATTCCCCATCCCCCCACCCCCAACTACCAGTGACTGTTTTGTTAAGAAACACTGAACTGATGTTACTTTTAACACAGATACTCAGAAGAGATATACCACAGTTTTTCTGGCCTGGTTATGAAAAGTAACTTAACAGACATGTAACAGACAGATACAGCTGTTTTTTAAAAGTAGACTTGAGTATTGTGAAAGGTTAAATTTCCAAATTTTCTTTGATAACAAAACATGTTTAGTGGAAATCCCCAGAGCTTTTCAGTTTTTTTTCTAAGATTAGGTCATATATATATATACATATATATATATATGTATATGTATGTGTGTGTGTGTGTGTGTGTGTGTGTGTGTGTGTGTGTGCGCACATAAGCCCTGAGCACTGCTAGTATGGTCCCAACCAAGCAAGTAAGCAACCAACCAGCCAAACAAACAAACAAATAAAACCCCAGTATACAGAGTTGGGTGTTCTGTGAGAATGTTGGGCATATATCTATATCTATATCTGTCTATCTATCTGGGCTGGAGCCATAGCACACCGGGTAGGGCATTTGCCTTGCATGCAGCCGACCCGGGTTCAATTTCTCCGCCCCTTTCTGAGAGCCTGGCAAGCTACCAGAGTATCTCGCCCGCACGGCAAAGCCTGGCAAGCTCCCAGTGATGTATTCGATATGCCAAAAACAGTAACAACAAGTCTCACACTTTGTTGTGAGACATTACTGGTGCCCCCTTGAGCAAATTGATGAACAATGGGTAGACAGTGCTACAGTGCTATCTATCTATCTATCTATCTATCTATCTATCTATCTATCTATCTACATATACATATATATGCATATATGTATATATATATATATATATTTGTGGGGGGGGAGGGAACAGTGGGGCACACCCAGTGGTGCTCAGGGCTTGCCCTTGGCTCTGTGCTCAAGGATCATTTCTACAGAGCTTAGGGAACCAGATGGGGTACTGGGTTCAAACTGTGTCAGCTGTGTGCAAAGCAAGTATCCTACCCACTATATTATTCATCTGCCCACCCCCAATTAGGTCACGTTTTACGTGAAATGTTTGATGAATCTTTGCCTGAAACAAAGGTAATGTGCTTATCAAAGTGAACAGAATCCCCGTCCCGCCTATCCCGTCATATCCAGTTATATAGTTGAGCCGGAGGTGGTTTGTGGGTGTGTCTTCCACATACCTAACTTTTGGCCATTTACTTTCTTGGTAAACTTTGCCCCAAGTTTTTGGGGTCTGGCCAAAGGCACAGCAGTAATTTGGGGGGTATCTTGAAGTCTGAAGGCGCCATCAGGCTGCTGATGCACTCACCTCACAGGTACAGATTGACCTGCTGGCGGCACCATACCCCCTCAAATTTGTTGTCTTTTGCTAGGAAAGTTGCACATTTCAAAGTACTTTAAAACTTATTTTTAGTATTAAAGGAAATGAGGCACATGTGGTTTTTGTGTTTCAGTCTAAAATTGTTTTATTGAAAATCAGATTTATTAGAGACGGTCTCTTGGACTGTTCTATGATGTGTTGATTTATGTTATGTTTTTCTTCCAAGACTCACACACAACCCAAAGGGTAACCATTTGTG